TAAACAGCCAGAGACGATCCTATGCCATGCTGGTAAACAGAACTGCAACTACGACTCTTCAAGGCGAGACCATTAGGTTCAGGGTCACCAGGAGCTACCCTCAAGGTGGGGTCTCTGTGGTCGCTCCTGATGAATAGTCTGCTTGATGCCCTCGATAGAAGAAAAGTAGAGCTGCAAGCTTACGCAGATGACCTTGTCATCTTGGCAAGGTCCTCGTCGGAAAGGGTAGCTTGTAATATCCTCCAAAGCACGTTGGACGTTGTTCACAGTTGGTGCCTGAGGGAGCAGATGGCTATCAACCCCAGCGAAACTGTGATAATCCCCTTCACCAGGAGGAGAAAGTTGGGTGATCTAACGCCAGTTTTCCTCAATGGTGAGGTCATTCTATTTGGAACGGAGGTAAAATATCTTGGTATTGTCCTTGATAAAAGACTCAGCTGGAACGCTCAAGAAGAGAGGACTGGATACTCCGGGAGAAGGAAATATCAAGAGCAGATAGTTGTTGGTTCACCTTCCGGTTCTGGCGCAGGTGTTTTCAGTCGCAGACTCAGGACAGAGATATCAACCTGCCTAGGAGCCTATGTGACTGTATTTCAAGCGGCAATTTACGCTATTAAATTGTGTGCAGAGAGATTGGAAGAACCCAACCTCACACACAAGTCAATAAAAATATTCTCGGCTTTGAAAGCTTCTGGCTCCTACAGAGCAATGTCTAAATTGGCAGCAAATTGCCAAAAACGACTCTCCTTGGTAGGAAGACTTAACAGATTGTCTCTGGCCTGGATTCTTGGCCATACTGGCCTGGAAGGCATTGAGGCTAATGACTCCCTTGCAAAAGAGGGTGCTGCAAGCAGCTTCATCTGATCAGAACCTGTCATTGGCATGACTTTAGGCTTTGCCAAACAAACATTGAACACCTGGATGGCAAGAAGATTCATGGACTTCTGGCAGAATATTTCAGGATTGGCTCACTCCAAAGTGTTTATTCACCAGTTTCGAATGGTAATGGCTCCACTACGGCAGGATATAAATAGCACGGATTCCCATGTATGGGTGGTTTTGTACGAAAACAATACAACTCAGTTTCATTGGAGGAGATTCACATATGCTTTGCAATATTTTGACCACATTATTGGTTACCCCTGACCTTCAATTTGTTCATTAAAAGTGCAAATATCCAAGTTGGTGATTCATCATATGTATTCAAATTGATTTTTAATGGTTGTGAAAACCGCAATATCATAATATAAGCAAATACGGTTTGCGATACTAGGAATTCTTCTCAATGCATCTACTCCTCATTAAAAACCCATAAAAAAGGAATCGTCTTTAGTTTTCGTGTTTTTTCCGCACAGAAAATTGAATCTCTCATCACTTGCGAAGTTTTAAATCTCTAGGAAAATTGGCTCAAGTTTTTCTGCACGAAGACTGTCCTGTACAGAAATCTGTTGATTGTCTATTTCTGATGTAATTTTGATGCTCATTCTCGCGCACTTTTAATGATCTCAAAGTGTTTCCAATATAACTTTCCCACAAAAACGAGGTATCTCATAAATGCGATTTATGTGTTATTCGGTTTTGTATGTACGAGTACAGATCTCAGTGTATTTTTGGTTTTGTAAGAAGTTTTAGGATCATATCTATTTCCAATTCGTTTCATCTTTTCAGAAAGGAAGGAGTTTTTTCTTCCAGTTTTTATCTGAGAGTAACTCAATTGATTACTTCCTTTTCACAATTTTCACTATAAAGATGGAGCAGTAAAAGCAAAAAATCTTTTATTTTTCACGAAAATTAATCTTTTCTTTCAATCTATTTAGGACATGTCTTTATACGAAATTTTTTCTTGAAATGGACCCAAAATTACCCGCCGTGATTATCAGCAAGTTAAAAACGCCCTGTTTGTGTCAATTAATCAGATCCATCAGAAATGAACAAACTGAAGAATACAGGTAATTTGCCTGATGACTAAAAAGAACTGATCAATTGGTTTCATCATATCAATCAATCAAAAACACGATCATCATTACACGGACAGATAATCATTATTGAATTTGTGGCATTGCGTCTTGTATAAAAAGGAGGTAAATTTTGAAATCGACTCCAATGTATGTATATTTCTCAAGAAGACGCTGTGCAGTGGGAACTATACCGGTAAGTGATTAATATAATTAAATGAGAATGTTTGTAAGAAAGTGTGAGAATTAATCAACAAATGTTGCCTCAGAATTGAAGGATTTCAACAAACGGACGATATTTTTTTTACTTTTATACATGAGAATACATGATCCAGTTGGTCAAGTGTAGTAATCGATATGGACTTGAGTAGGGTTGAATAAATAACGGAAACTGTTGGTCGAAATTCAAAAAAATTGGTTTGGGGTACCACAAGGCACAATTTTGGGACTTCTCCTTTACATTATCTATATATTAGCTTGAATACAATACAGTCATACTCTGCGAGNTATTTATACCAATAATCGGTTTGCAATTAGTGTGTTAGCTTGCTCAGTTTTTTGTGGAATGCATAGACCTTCATAAAGTCTTCATGAAACTTTTCAAATAATGTTTGCTGAAATTAACTACTGCAGCATATTTTCATTTTAGGCCCAACTTCATCGACAACACTGAGAAAAAAATGTCCATTTGTCTTTCTGATAACCCCTGTTTACATTCTTCAGGTTTTCTGTCTCATTCCTTGCCACTTCCGCCGGCAAGTTATCCCATCATCTTCGCCTCCCCCTCCTCCTCCCTGACATCCTCGTGACTCACTCAATTACCCCCATAAATCATTATCACACTGTTGATTCGACAGTTAAACAAACGAGCATCAACTCGAGACGGATTGACGCAAGCGCGACACATCCAGCAGCCCCTGGACCAGACTGCGTCAATATTCATCTCCGCGATGGACAGGATCGGGCTCGGAATTTTGAGAGGGTTCAACAAGAATGTAACTGCTGGGGGTGATGCAAGGTTCGGACGTGGGGCCGAATTGAATACGAACTATTTTGTTTGACTGCTAAACTGAAGAATCAAAAACATTTTCTAGCTAGGTTGCCAAAACTCTGTTTTGGGTAACCCTCTGGAAAGTAATCTACTACTTCCATAATGGCATACAGTTGATTGGTCTATATTGAGGTTGTTGTATGATAAATGTGTAAGATTCCGACCTCAATGATCACAGCAACTGTAAGTAAAGGTATGTATGATGATACAGTCAAAATTAGCTTAGCACTGAACTCATCAGATGCATATTTATCCAAAACATCCAGCATTTGATAGTTTTCAGTATTGCAACATCGCTTTTTCTTATTGGTTACGAAAACCCTGAGATGTGTTTTCTTCAAGAAAGTGACAGAGGAGGAACTAAATATCGTTCGTGGGGTACCAATATGTCTTGGTACAATCACGTCAAATTTAGAACAGGATTCCGAACTAGATATTTATATACACCTCAGCCACTTCCAGTGCCTTATTAGGCTTGAATTTGACTTTAGTGAATAATTGCTCACAAATATAGAGCTATGCCCCTAAACATCCCAGATAGCACGATAAACATTTTGGAAGCCATAAGGGACGTCAAATCATACGAGGGATGTCTATGGGTATCCCAATTGAAAAGTTACCATTCTTTGATTCTCTAGGATATTTATTGAGGACACCTTGAAAAGTATTTTGACATCTTACATCAATAATAGTTATTCTTTCTCGGTTTTTAAGAAAATAAGTTCAATAATGGTGATCTATTCAAATTCAGAAAATATTTGTAAATGCCACCGTTTTCCCTATTCTGTAAGTGGGTTCATCCTGTAGAATAGTGTGTAAAATAAATAAATATGAAATAAATAACCTTGATCAACTCGATTCATTTTATTGGTGCTTTCATTATTTGTTCCTTTGTTCGTTTCTAGAGGCCAACCCTGTCCTCTGAAATTTCCAAGGTATCAATTTATGGCAAACCATAACCACGGCGAAACATCCACCTTGAGAATAGCAGAATCTCGTAAAATATCGCGGATTTCTCTCCAATGCGACATCATTTTCAATAATTCGGAAAATCTGGAAAACCGGGAAAGATCGTGGAAGGGATGAAAATCGACACACCTCTGCAGTGTTTACCAGAAAGTTGAATTAATAGTGTAAGTGAAGGGGTAGCGCAAAGTAATCTTGTCTGAGTGGTTGTTTTCGATACAACTGTTTGTGAGTATTAATTTAAATGATTATTAAGGGTAACTTTTGTTGTTTGTTTAAAGGTGGTGGACAACGTTTCGCGGTTAATTTCATTAGTTAGGACTTCCATTGTCTGATAAGATATTAAATGATTTGCAATCACTGAAAGAATCAATAAAATTGAAATGAATAGCTGAAAATAACAATTATTATGAGCAGAGAAACCCTGGAGTGGAATTACAATAAAATAAAATACAAGCAACAATCGAAAAGTGAACAATTGAAATGAAATAAAAATTGAAAGATTTCTAGCCAAGTTATTTCACGACTTTTCGATTGTTAGTATTCACAATCGTTTTCAGGTGATGACTGAACTGGATGACTGGACCAAGCAAAAAATTTTTAAGTTCCGTTGGCAAAACGGCACTGATACAAATGCACGATTAAATTAAATATGTATTCATTGAGATATAACAGTTCAAAGTAGACTCAAAAAAACCGACAACACATTTGAATAAACCTAATAGTAATTTTATTATTATACAGGGCGATCCAACGAAAACTTGACCCCCCCTGTAAGTCAGAAACAGACGTATAATCGAAAATTTCAAAGAACACGTCAATTTTGATTTTTAGGGGGACTAATTCTGATAGGAAAATCATACTCGAAACTTCACCCCCCTGCGTTCAACAAATACCACCCTTATGTTTTTCAATGCATGAAAAAATGTCAAATGACTATCCATTAGTTTCAGAAACGTCTAACCTACCATCGACCGTGAGTCACGTTGTATATGTATTCACGTATACTGCCCTCTCATTAGAATATATCTAATCTTATTGAGTGAATAATAAATAAAACTATTCATGAATGATAGCGATCTAGAATGTTAACACTTTGTAATAGATTCCTATCACTAAAGATACAGTTTACAATATAATGATCAGTTTAAAAACAAGGAAGATATGTGTAATACAAGTGTAGTAATCAACTGGTTATGATTATACAATTAATTAGTCACTCATATTATAAGAGCCATAACTTTAATTGAAGACCTCATTATATTAAGGATATGAGTGATAAAAATATAATTGAACATCAAAACAACACGAACAATAAATGATCCACACAATGATCATCATTTATCGTATTCCATCACTGATCACTAATGACAAGCAAAACGCGTTACATGCAAATTTCTATTCATAACATACAGGAGTATCATGATGAGAATTGAATGGAAGTAATTTTAGTTAAGTAGAAGCATTTCCAACCTGCAAATTTTCAGATTCCAGCCGGGTTCCAGAACTGTCGAAACGTGGCGAAATTCGAGGGCAAATTGTTTTCCGCGGTGAACAATTTTTTTTCCAGCTCACCCCTCGTGAGCCAAATCAAGGACCTGATGGTGAGTAGAACTTTGAGTTTCGAAACTTTGTAACACATTTCCATTTGCTTTTCTATACCTTCCATTAAAGTACATCAATACAATCTTATTCCGACCTTGTATTTGATTTCTATGACCGGAAAAATGCAGGTTGATACAGTATAGACAGACAGACAGACATAATTTATTTAATCATGTTATGCATACAATTAATACATTTATGAGAGGTCAGAAAGAGTGCAGATGCACTCTGTACTGGGTACAAAAGTGAAAGATAATATACAATTATTAGTGATCATTTGAAATAAAACTTAACTGCTAGGTAGAATAAAATATTGGTGGTTCAGAACATCACATAAGAACATAAATATAGAAAAGTAATATTAAGTGAATTAATCATTAACTGTAAGTACTATTCATACAGAGTGGTCCAACGAAAAGTATGCACCTTGCTTTTCTCCTTTTTTTGTAACTTAACGCAAAAATGCTCGAAATGAACAAACTGA